ATTATATGGAAAATATAATAATCGTGTGATATGATTTCCTAAACTTACTTAAAACTATTAAATGCTAATTGCATATTAGTTAATATCCAGCAAAATTGGGGAGTTAATATATTATTAAATTGATGTTAATAATAAAAAATGTTTATTTGATGATTTTATTTTTGTTAGCAGGACCTGACCAGGGGGCGAGTTTTTTAATTATATTTCAAGGAAATATATAAATATCTTTTTTGCTATATTTTCGAAAAACATTTTCAATATGAAGATTTTGAAAATAAGAGATTGTATGTGAAACAAAATATTTATTCGATTGATTTTTGAAAAAAAATATTATTGATTTTTTAAAGATTTTTTTTTAATTAAACATTTTAATTATTTATTTAAGACTTTGTCATTTTTAAATTTTTTAAAGATAATATCAATTTTGTTGAATATTTCTCCATATTTTATGCTATTGTAAAATATATAACATATTTATTTTTCTTTTATTTTTCCTAAAACATCAATATAAAACAAAAAAATATATATGATGATTTTTGTAACGCAAAATAAATATATATCATATCATAAGAGTTATACAAAATACAAATAACATAAACACTTGAATAAAATCATTAAACCAAATAAAAAATACTATAGATTAGATTTTATTAAATATTAAATTATTGTTTAAAAATATCTCAACATGTTAAATATGTTATATACATGGAGATTTTCGAATTTAATTTTCCACTTTTTTGGCAACAAAATTAGTATGATCCATAAATATAGGTAGTTTCTATTTTTTATTATTTATTTATTTATTAAAACTTTTTTGCTGTCATTAGTTTTGTTTGGCAACTGAAATATATTTTATGAAATTTTTTTTAAAAAAATTGGGTCTGTTTGGCTTCAAGTTGTACTTCCCAATTAATAGTATAGATAAGGAATGACTTAGTTTGCAATGAGAATTGAACTCATATGCACTAATCTTAAAAAAATGCAATTTTCATTTGTGTATGTGCGTGAGGTTCTTCTAGTGCAACTAACATTGTACACCACCTTGCAAAGGATACAATACAAGTGCAACCTTCATTTTTTTTTCCGAATAAATCCATATACGAGTGTATCGAAATTGATTATCTTTGAAAGAGAGCCAAACAGAAACCGACAAACCTACATAAAAAATAAAAATTTTGTACCCCTTGTATATTTCGTAAGTTTATCGGTGCAGATTTTAAGAATATATCTAATGCTTCTGACACTAAACTTGTCACGAAGATAAATAAAATTCTTAATTTCAAAGACAAGTTTATAGTTTAATGGTCATTTTACCCCTATTTAAAAGAATATTCTTTCCCAAAGGAAGGAATATTCCATCCAAAAATTTTCTCCCCAAAAATTTCCCGCCAAAAAAGTTTCCGAGAAAAATTTCCCGCCAAAAACAATTCCGCAAAAATTTTCCCGCAAAAAATTTTTTTTTTTCAAAAATTTTCCACCAAATTTTTTTAAAGGGTTTTTAAAGGGATTTACAAGAGTTTTTAAATGGTTTTTAAAAGATTTGTAATGGTTTTTAAAGGGTTTTAGAAGCCTACAAAGGTTTTTAAATGGTTTTTAAATGATTTACAATGGTTTTTCAAATTTTTTATAAGTTTATAACAGTTTTAAAAGGATTTACAAGGATTTTTAAAGGAATTTAAAAATTTACAAGGATTTATAAAGGTTTTTTAAAAGGATTTACAAGTGTTTTTAAAAGGATTTAAAAGTGTATTTAAAGGCATACAAAGATTTAAAAATAGTTTTAAAGAATTTAGAAGAAGTTTTAAAGGGTTTTAGAAGTTTACAAAGGTTTTTTGAAGGGTTTACAAAAGTTTTTAAAGGTATTGCAAATTCTCTAAAATGGTTTTTAATGATTTACAAGGGGTTTTAAAGGGTTTTAGAAGTTTACAAAAGTTTTTATTAAATGATATATCACAGTTATAAGGGGTTTAAAGGGATTTACAAGTGTTTATAAATGTTATAAAATGATTTACAATGGTTTTAAAAGGTTTACTCAAGTTTTGAAAGGTTTTGGATGACTTTTAAAAGATTTACAAGGGTGTTTAAAGGATTTATAAATATTTACAAGGTTTTTTTAAGGAATTGCGGAAAATTTTTTGTCGGAAAATTTTTGGCGGGAAATTTTTTTGTCGGAATTTTTTGGCGGGAAAAATTTTTGTCGGAATTTTTTGGCGGAAAATTTTTCGGAAGGAATATTATTCTTATTGGAAAGAATATTTATTTCTTCATCATGGGTTATAATAAATGAGGATAACTTAGTTATTTTATATATTGAAGAGGGTATTTTTGAAAATGTACACATAAAAAATGTACTTGTAAAAAAGAGTATCTTAAAAAGTTAGTTGTGCAAATCTCCCGATAATAATCTTCATTTCTGTTTTGGTTAATTTTGTTTCTGTCACGTTTATTTTTTTCTGTAAAATAAATATGGAGTTTGAATTGTTGTGGGCACTTCTTCGGCGCTGCACTCTTCACCACGAACAAGCCACGCGTATAACGCAGCCTTACATGTGTCCTATACATGGTTGACGAAGAAGCAATTCTCTCAACCACAAGTCTTTATATCCTTATTTGGAATTTGAGATGGCGGCCCATTAACGAAGGTTCTGAGCTATTGCCGCATAGTTCTGATTTGTTTTTATTATAAATCTCTTTATACAATGATGGCTCATTGGGGCTCACAACTTAATAGGGAAACAATTTAAAGTTTAAACCATGACTTAGTCAAAAACTCAGGGGGAAGATACATATCTACATGTCTCTCCTAAAAAACTTGAAGTCACTTCACTAATACAAAACCCACCTAAAACCCTATCAAACCCTTTCACCTATCTCTTCTTTCATGTCCATTGTCTCTCTCTCTCTCTCTCTCTTTTCCTCTCTTTATAACTCCCATGATCATCGTCTCTGTAACTTTAGTCTCTCTTCACCCCTATCTCCATCTCTCATCTCTTCACGGCTTCTTCTTCTTCTTCTTCTTCTGTCTTCTTCATCTTCACCTTCCCTACTGTCTCTTTCTTCTCTCTCTCTGCGTCTTCTACCATCATCAACTTCATCTATGTGGCGTCTTTTGCCTTCCTTATTACCATGAGACCTTCTCCTATGAATCTTCTTCCTCCTCTCCCTCTCATCACCCTCAAATACCATATCATAGCCTTCACCTCCTCCATGCTGCTTGTTTCGATCTTCGACCTTTTGGGAGTGTTTCTGCCGGAGCTGTGGCCAAAGTTTGAACACACTCTGACTGAAATCCACACGTATTCGTCTATCATCGATCAGAGTATTGTCCATCTGAAAAAATCAACAGTTTAGTTAAATCCCAAAGTAATTCATTTCACAAACTTCTATACATATTTTTCAGCCAGCTAACATTTACCTTCTCATACGCTTCCTCGCATGCCTCCTTGTTTCCAAACTCTACAACAGAAACAAAAACTCTTAGTTAACACAAAAACACCATACAGAAGAAATCAAGATTTTCAGAAAACATAACAGAGAGTTTTACTCACCTACAAAAGCATAGCACTTACTGTCACCTGTCTCGACAACCCGGATTACATCAGCACTGCCAATATAATACATGAATTATCAATACAATTGCAGTAATTTAAGTTTCTAAAACGCACAAAGAATCAAGTAACTATAACTTACGATATAACGGTTCCAAAGCGTGAGAAAATAGTATGGAGGTCCTCATCCTGTAAGAGAGACAATAAAAGTAAGAACAATATGTCACAAAGAGAGGAAGGCTTTGTAACTAATTATAATACATCAAGCACATACCTCAGTCACAGGATTCAGATTGCGGATGAACAGAACATTGTCAGGAGGTTTTACCTCAGCCTCAGGGATATCTCCAATCTGCAATAGCAATAGCAATACACAGTCAACAGTTACAAAAATGATTTGATATAACAACATCGACAAAGCTACAAGCCAAATGAAACAGTGATACTTACACTTTCAAGTACAACAGCACTAGAATGAGCTTCCTTTTCGCGCATAACTTCCTCCAGTTCCTTCACACCAAGTTCTTCATCCATTGGAACCCAATCATCCTCAAGTCGAACGTCATCTTCAACCTCTTCCTTCGGTTTTCCTTCTGGAGAAGCATTTAGTATCATCTCAGCTAGCTTTGGGGGATCCTCAAAAGGATCTTCAAGCATATATGTCTGTTTGATTCTAATATTTTTATAAGGTCTGTTCTTTGCATCAACATAAGCTTCGTTTATCCTAGTCAAAGTATCAAACCCTTCAGCAATCTTCCCAAAAACCTGAAATAGCATTTAACGGGTTAACATATATATTCAAAAGAAAGAATCTGCAAGATCAATACAATAATTTTGTTAACTTACAGTGTGTTTCCCATCAAGATACTCCAAATCATCACGAAGTGTGAAATAGAACTGTAAAAGACAGAGTAGATAAAGTTTCACATGAGGACATATTGATGACTATACCATAAACTTAGTAATTCAAATCAAAAGGATTTATCTTTATACCTGAGAAGCATTGAGATTTTCTCCACCACTAGCCATTGCAACAGTACCAGTCTTTGAATGATTCAAATCAAGATGAATCTCATCGCCGAAAAAACGAGCATGCTCACCATATAGAAACCTGTAAAATCCAACATAGCAACCACAAGATGGTTAAGAATGATCAAAATATATACAAACTAGTCCATATGAAAAGTTAAAAGTAAAAGCATCTAACTTGTAGATTGAGTCTCCACCAGCTCCAGTTCCAGTAGGATCACCTGTCTGTGCTGTGAAATCCTTTTGTACAGTGTGAAATAGACACCCATTGTAGTATTTGATCCTGAAAGTGAAACCCACATAAGAAAGTTAAAACCTTTGTGGAGAACATAGATATGGTAAAGAGAGACACTTACTTGCAAAGTTTGAGGAAGTTCTTGCAGGTTAAAGGGCATTTATTTGAGTAAAGGTCAATTACTATATCACCAAGGCTTGTCATTATAAGAACTGACATGTTTACTTCTTGCACAACCTGAAACCAAAACATTGAGGCAAGTTAAAACTAGGCTACTAGTGAATCAACTCGATGAATAATCTTATAATACCAAATAGACAAAAATTCAGCTTTTACAAAGAAAAAACCTAAATTTCCCACAAGTTCCTTCACGGCCATTACTATCATATCAATCAAGCCAAAAAATAAAATTAAAAGCAATTACGAAACTGTTAAATATGCATATACAGAAACACAAATTACGCAAAGACAAAACACAAATTAAGCAAAGACAAAACACAAAAGACAAAACCACCTTTTAGATTTTACCTGGAAAAAGATTTACGATCTGTCTCTCTCTCTCGCGGTGGTGCGTTGTGAATCAGAACAACGACAGAACCCTCTAATTCTGAAACGTTGATGTTTGAGTTGGGGAGAAAACAGAAACCATCTGTTAAATATGTGCATACAAATTAATAAGAAATTTTCCTAAATCTAAAAGGAAAACTCCCTATTCTAAAAAAAAGGAATTTAATTTTGAGTTATTTACAAAATTTAAAAAGGAGTGAATTTATTAGTTTTGAGCGAAAAAACCGAATACGCCAAACCGAAACTATATTGGAATTGGAGAAAACGAAATCGAACCGAAAAATAACTAAAAACCGAATGTATATTTTATTCAGGATTCGAAAGTATCTGAAACTGAATCGTACCAAATTGAAACCAATCTAGAACTGAATAGATAACCAAAATATTTAAAATACAATTTTATATTTCAAAATATTAGGTATGTTTAGACCGAAAATCTTAAAAAATAAAAATATCCAAATAATCAAACCCAAAATCCGAAAAAAATCCAAAATATCCAAATATCCTAACTAAAATATCTAAATAATATTCGAAAACACCGGGAATATCCAAAAAATACATGAAATATCACAAAATATTCAAAATTTTCGGTTAGAACCGAACCAAAAAAATATATTCAAAAATAATTCGGTTTTACGTCGGTTTCTTTTTCAATATCCGAAATCAAAAAGAACCGAACCGAGACTGAACCAAAGTTCCAAACAAGTCGAATGGATAATATTCTCAATATCCGAACGTTCCAAAAACCAAAAACACCATACTGAAACCTAACCGAATATCCAAAACTATTATTTATTTCCTTAGCGACAACAGAGAAGTTGCACCTAAGACTATTTATAGTTTTTGATCGATTTCGTAGTTACTGCACCATCATAATCTTAAGAGTTAAGACGATTGTGAAAGCTTGTCTTAAGATGATCTAGCCAATGAAAATATTGAACAAAACAGAAGAGAAGAGGATTTAGTGTCTTGCAAGTTTCACAGCACCAATCTTAACTTAACACTAGCTTGCCTGATCCTTAACATAAAATATCTTATTAGGACTTAAAAGGCGTTCACATATTAGTTATAGAACTCGTTCAAGCTGAAGTAGTTCTCGTTAAACTGGCCTACACCATTTCTATGCTGAGTGGTTGTGCCATCAACTGCTGGTGGATTCGGCTGCCAATAGCTGGACACTGAATTGAGTTGAGTCGCAGACCGGTGAGCCGGGGGTTGGAGGTTGCTTGAAGGATGGTGATCAAGGGAAAAACGTCTCGGTTGGTCAGAGGAAACTGGCCATGATGTTGAATTTGACAGAAGAGAGAGAGCACCATCAAGATCTTGAGAAGCACCCATGTGTGAAGAGATTGTGACCTTTTCTGAAAAATCCGTTTAACACAAAGAATCATCAAGATTATGAATACAAACAGATGACCTCATGTATTTGAAACTCAAGAGATCACAAACCTTTACTGAATAACTCAGCTCTTGAGGTTTTGGTTTTGGGGTCCAACAATCCAAAACCACAGTGCTCGGTGAACTGCTTATTTGAAGTCTCGGTCTTTGTAGGTTGCGGTATTAACCCTCTTGATTGTACGGGCTTCGAACTTGGCCACAGAAAATTTTCCTCACTTCTTGGATGGATAAGTGCAAATCTGTTCCATACAAAATCCACCTGTGGTTTCCCATCTGCATACACAGAAATGACAAAAGCATCTCTAATTCTTTATCAATGAGATTGTAGTGAACCAACTACATGAAATAAAATTTATCTAGGAAAATAACTAATGCTATAACTGAATTATAGCCAATTTCAGAGTAAATGCAAGTATAAGAAATAATCAAATAAGTGATTGTTGTATATACCATATGTCCTCCCAGGGTTTGGCTTGCGACGTCTTGCATTGTGATCTGAGAGACGTCGGCGACAGCTACGTTTCTTTTCATCAAACTCAGAGAGACAGTGGAACCTTTGGATACCAAAAAAAAAACATAAAAAGTTATGATATCATTAACGCTTTTGATAACTGATTAAACCACTTTCTCTCTTGAGATAGACTAGCTTTTACCTGCTACATTGTTGGCAGAACCGACGCTCTACGCCACTCACGACGACTTTGGGGAACTTTGAATGGTTTTCACAAATCCGGTGTTTCCGATGATAGTCTTTAGCTGATGAGAGATCAATGTTACAGCCTTCAACTTGGCAATGAGGAGTTTGTAACTTCTGAGGAATGGGTTTTGATTTCTTCACCGGAGAAACAGAAGATGACGCGAGGCTCACTGGTAGTGCTAAACCTTTTGAATTTTCCACTTCCCAAAAGTCTTCAAAGTACGTTCGCTTACCAAGCTTTAAACCGAGCACCGGATCACCAGAGCCAAAAGAAAGTTCAAGACTTGGAGAAGTATTGATTCCTTTCGCAAACTCTTCACTGCTGCCCAATTCTCCTGGAAGACTTTCACCAGCTTCTGATGTAAAATTGTATGTTCTCACTTCAGCTGATGAAGAGCTAAGGGAAGTCGACTTCGAACTTTTAGAGAAAGCATGAGCTATATCAGAACCTGAACTACCACCACCACCATAAGCTACTGCAGCAAAGCTTGAAGAATACAGAGAGGTGCAATCAAACCCATCAATCTCCCACTCCATTTGTTTTAGCTTTCTAGGAAGTTCACCTGATGAACCACCAAAAGATATTAAATTTTCCCATTCCCATTGCATCGATGGCTTTGCATTACACTCCATCAGACACTGACCACCTAAATCAGAAATAACCAAAAATTTATAAGAAAACTAACTAGAAAATGCAGGAAAAAGGCATCCAGAAACCGCATAAAGTTAGACTTTTTACTAACAAGAAACTTAATAAAAGTATAACAGGGAAAGACCAAAACGTTGTAAGACAGCTACTTATGTATGCAAGATTGTAAAGACGAGACCTTAACTCTGAATTGCCAAATATATGGAGAAGCAAAATGAATTCTTGTAAGACAGCTACTTATGTATGCAAGAGCATATATAGATACTAATGACAATACAGAACATAATACTTCAGTCTATTTCTTCACTCTGCTAGAAACCAAAAGATGATAACTCAAGTTCAACCTTAAACCAGAGCAAGGAGAAGAAAATGTAAATAACAAAAATGACTCCTCAAGTAACAAAGGAAGGTTACAGATTAAGGTGTCTTAGTGAAAACCTCATGAGTTCTCTAAACTTTTTTTGCTCAAATCTCTACATATCTCATACTTTCTTGAGAAACAAAGGAGAGATTTTAGGGAGAAAACACTAATCTTTAAAATGCTCCTAGTCTTCCACTAATTTAACTACAGAACCATACTGATCTAAAAGCAAATCAACTAACTTCAACCTAGGAGAACTTCCTCATTTATCTTCCTCTGTTATTTACAGAGACAAAAAGGACAAAACCAGACACCATAAACATACCTCAAACAAAACTTATGGATCCCAAGAAGAAGCAGAAGTTATTTCCTTTCTTCTAAAGTTTTGAGTAAAGCTACCAAAAGTACCAAACACATCCACATTTATAACAACACCAACAAAATAAGATACCCTCTAAAATTCTATTATCATCACAACCTTTTTTCTTTGCTCACCAATAATTCACATTCATTGGATTGTGGGGGCAAAAAACACTTCAAGATTGTAGGGACCCTTCTTTCACCATTTCACTATCAAAAGATGTTTACAGATACTAAAATTTTAACTACTCAGCTGTCAAAATCATCCCTTTAATATATTAACATTCCAAATAAACGTTTTTGGTCTACCATATATACTTCAAACTCACCAAAGTTATCTACTTTTCACCAAACCCATATGAGATCATGAACCAAAACACAGTAAAGTTTTGTTCTTTACACAAATTTTTTGTATTTTGGGAATGAGATCTATAGGACTAATGTAAAAAGAGCACCTTGTAACCAAGAAAAGGGCTATTAGGGTTTTAACTCACCATGATTGTGATAGCTATTTTGTTTTGTTTTGTAGGTAGTGAAAAAAAGAGAGAGGGGAAAAGAATAAAGTAGCAAGCAAAATCTCAGCCGCAAATGGATACAATAGATTGTCTCACCATTTATTGTAATTTTATCATTTCATTTCACAACCCATTCTTAAGCTAAGTAAAATAAAATACCAAAAAATTACATTATGGGTCTATAAGATTTGCAAGAAAACATACAAAAGATTAAAAAGATGGGTTACCTGTAAATTAGAGAATTAGAGAAGGATCTTGTTGTTCAATAGAGTAAAGCTTCCATTTTTGTTGTGAGAGAAGAGGAGATAGAGAAAAATGAGAGAGAAAGAGAGAGAGAGAGAGAGAGCATGTGGTGTGTGCAAAGCTAAGTACCAAGTTGGGGAGATGTGGAGGGGTCGTCAAACTATACTTTTCATCAGCTTCAACTTTTTATTATTTTTGTTTTGGGACGATTCATTTCATTATTTTATATAGATAAAAAAAACTTTATAGTATATTGTAACAATATAAAAAAATGTGTCATATGGGATTTTTCGTAAGATCAAAAGAGCGTCAAAATCAAGACAGCCCATGCTTATTGTTATTATTAATAACTTTTATATATATATTTTTGTGATTTCAATAGTAAAGTTTTTTATAAATTGTTACTAAGTTGGTTATGTTTAAAAAACTATTTTGTCATAGAAAATAAAAATAAAAAAGTTGGTTGGGGTTATCATTGTGCTGGAGGACAACCGTTCAGCAGGTATGGTTCAATTATATTATAGAAAAATTAGATCCGCAATGTATTATTTTTGTTTTTTTAATGAAAGAGTGTGGCCATATGTTTTATTGGTCCATGATCTTCTATATATTATACTAGTCGGTTGCCCGCGCTACGCGCGAGAGTTTATTATGTTGTTTATGAGTAATTGGTTTGTATTTTATTTTCTACTTATTTTTTTCACTATACCATACTTTAATTTTTTAAAATTTTGATTGTGTTTGTATAGAAAAACTATTGAGTTTTAGCTTCATTAGTTGTTGAGAAATTAAGTGTGTATAGTATAAGTCAAAATGTAGGCGTAAACGGAAGTGCGGTGAAAAATCATTAAGAAACGTGTGCTATTAGAGTTTCTACCAAATATAGATCTAGATGTTAATATTTTGGGCCTTTTATATGTTAGCATGAAATTTGAACATGATTTGTTGGTTTCGGGCGGATTGTTGTATTTTAAATTGTTTACATTATCTTTTTATATATTGTCATAATTTTTTTTTTTTTTTATGTTTTTCTTTTTTGGATTTGTTGTAATTATATCTCGTAATGATCATTTTTATACTATTATATATTTGTTTCTGATTTTATGTTATATATATTTTTTTTGTTTCTCATATGGAACAATTTTTAAATTTAACATATTAGTACAATTTACTTTATATTTAGTTTATTTCATTTAATAATGTTTTTTTATTTTAATTTTCAATTTTTATGAAATGTAGTTAATTTTTTATTTTGTTTATTAGTTTAACATACGTGTTGTATTGGAAAAAATTAGTTAAATTTATATTGGAAACCTTTAAAGAAATATTATTTTTATTTTCACGTTTTTATACATTTTAAAAAAATGAGAATTGATGTTTCGGTCCGACCTATCTAATTTATGTTAGAAAATTTTGTGAGACATAAATTAGATCGATTTATATTCTCAAAATTTCTTACTTTCTTTTATATTCCTGTTAAATCCCATTATATTTTGGTTTACATTGTGTAAATATAATCATATATATATATATATGTGTATATATTTTAAACATTCACTAAAAACTATAATCTATCATTTATATATTTCTTAGTATAATCGATAATTAGTAAAAAAAATTAACTTTTAAACAAATCATCTTTTTAGTTTTCTAATGTATAATATAAAAAAAAAATTTCATATTCCTTTTTGAAAAACTTATTTACATAGGTTTAAATCTTAAAATTAAATGATAAAATGGTATAATTAATTTTAAAAATTAAATAATAAAATGAGGTGGATGATGATGTGGCTTAAGGAGAAGAGAGAAAAAGCTAACTTTATATATATAGATAATATGCACAACTATGACATTTTTGTATACATTTTTCTTTTCTTTCAACTCCTGATTCTTCTTCAGATCAATAATATTTTTTTCTTCCTCTTGAATATTTTGGTATTCGGTTTTTGGATTTTTTTTGAATTTTGTAGATATTCGGAGTTTTTTTAATGTTTAGAATTTGGTTTAAGTTTGGTTTCTTTCGGTTTAGATCTCGAACAAAGCCATATTAGAACCGGAAAGTTTTTGGTATTCTTCTTGTTTCAATTCTAACCGGAAAAATCCGTATATTTTGAGACATTTTCAAAGAAATTTGGAACTTTCAAGTATTTTCAGATATTTTCAGTTCAATTATTCGAGTATTCTTTTTTAATTATATTCAGATTCTTCAGTTCACTTATTCATATAATTTCTGGTTTTCATATATTTTCTGAATATTTTCGGAATATATTCAATATGATTCAATTTAAGTTTTAAGTTCTTTATCCATTCAGTTAGTACGTCAATTTTGATTCCTCTCGATTAAATTGATTTTGGTTCTGTAATGATATTTTCCAAGGACCAAGGTAATGATTATTCTTAGGCAAAATAACCAAACCGAAAATGATTAAAAACCAAATGGATCTTATATTCAAAATCCGAAACCAAAACGTACCGAACTAAAATCAAACCGAAACCAAATTAAGAACCGAATATATATCTGAAATATCTAAAAATACAATTATATACCTAAAGTTATTAGTTTTTTTAGATAGAAAAACTGAAAAAATATCTGAAAACATTAAGAAAACCTCGTATATTCAAAGCAAAATACCAAATAATATAAAATACCCAAATACACGAATTAAAACCAAATCAAAAATATTCAAAAAACACCAAAATATCTGAAATAACTGACATATCACAAAATATTCAAAACTTTCCAGTCAAAACCGAAAACAGAAATAACTGAATATAATTCGATGTTAGATTAGTTTCCCGTTCAAGATCTAAAACCGAACTATATCGTAAAGCAATATAAATAAAATAAAATAAAAAAACCAAATATATAATAGGAAAAAGATGGCTGGCTACACCAACTATAGAGGAATACATGGCCATATATGCCAAGTATCATATTGTACACTCAACTATACGAATTAGATGTATTGCATGGTCACATGCATCAATTTTACAACGCCATGTAGTCAACACTATAGACAGAGCCGGTCCATGGACCAGGCTCATGAAGCATTAGATTGTGGCCCTCAATATTATAAACAAAATTCGGCCCTCTTTTCCAAAATATGTCTTTAGTCTAGTCGTTTAAGTGGTGCAAGCAATAGTTACCCATCCTGGTTCGATGCACTGAACAAGCATTATTCAGCCTTTTAATTTTTTAAGATTGTGGCCTTAAAACATTTAGAGATGGCTCTGACTATAGACATAAAATTCTGGTACACCGGTCAACGCCAGAATCAGTTGACTACATGACGTTGTATAGTTGATGCATGTGACCATGCAATACATCTAGTTCGTGTAGCTAAATATACAATATGATATTTGGCATGTGTGACCATGTATTTTTCTATAGTTGGTGTAGCCAACCATCTTTTTTCCTATATAATACAGTACTCTCAAGAACCGAATGATCCGTATACCAAAAATACCGAACCGATACTGAACCGATCTCCCATGACATTAGCGATTTTGAAAGGATGACTTCGGGCAAAGTACATTTATACCCTTCGTGATTCAAAGCTTCATTTCAAACTTTCACAATCATCTCTATCTCCTCCATAGTCCCATACCTTATCAAGCTTATCATCATCAACTCAATTTCGAAACTGGTAGCTATGGAGTCATACAAAACCCTAGAAATCGTACGCAAGAACACTGATTCCTCTGTATTTCACCTCATCCTCAACAGACCATCACACCTCAACGCCTTATCCCTCGATTCCTTCATCGAACTCCCAAAAGCTCTATCATCACTCGACCAAAACCCAGACGTCTCCGTCATTATCATCTCCGGCGCCGGAAAACACTTCTGTTCCGGCATAGATCTCACTTCCCTCTCTTCAATCTCGGCTCAATCCTCCTCAGGTAACGACAGAGCACGCTCGAGCGAGCTCTTACGGCGTAAGATCAAGTCGATGCAAGCTGCGATAACGGCGATCGAGATCTGCCGGAAACCTGTGATCGCCGCTGTACACGGCGCGTGTATCGGTGGTGGTGTTGATCTCGTTACGGCTTGTGATATTAGGTATTGCTCTGAGGATGCTTTTTTCTCGATTAAAGAGGTTGATTTAGCGATTGTCGCGGATCTTGGTACGCTTCAGAGGTTGCCGAGTATTGTTGGGTATGCGAACGCTATGGAATTGGCTTTAACTGCTCGGAGATTCTCAGGTGGTGAAGCGAAGGAGCTTGGTTTGGTTTCTCGGGTTTTTGGATCTAAATCGGAGCTTGATAATGGTGTCACCATGATTGCTGAAGGTAATTAACCTAATTTTCTCAGGATTTGTACAATTTTTGTTGGAATTTTGATTCTGAGATGATTTAGGGAATGCGAATCATGTTTTTGAATCTTATGTTCTTCAATTTATGCATTTTTGGTTCAAATCAATTGCTGAAATCTGCTGATTCAATGCTCAATTTTGTTCGAATTTGATTCTGAGATGATTTAGGGAATGAGAATTATGTTTGAATCTGCTGATTCTATGTTTGATTTATTTCAATTATGATTCTGAAGATTATTGGTTTTGGAGTTGTAATTTGCTGATTCTATGCTTGATTTGTTTCAATTTTGATTCTGAGATGATTGGTTTTGGAGTTGTAATCTGCTGACTCTATGCTTGATTTGTTTCAGTTTTGATTCTATGATGATTGGTTTTTTGGAGTTGTGAAAATCGGAGTTTTATCGATGTTTACAGGAATAGCAGCAAAGTCTCCACTAGCAGTGACAGGGACAAAGGCAGTGTTATTAAGGAGCAGAGAGGTGAGTGTAGAACAAGGTCTTGACTACGTAGCAACTTGGAACTCGGCTATGCTTATATCAGATGATCTCAATGAGGCTGTTTCTGCTCAGATGATGAAAAGAAAGCCTCGTTTTGCTAAACTGTGATGATACAGTCTCTGTTGCTTCTTGTCTTTCAAAGACAGTGTTTATCGTTCGTCCGGTAACAAAGTAATAAGATCATTCTTCAAAGAAGTTTAGTTTGTTATGATATATGTCTATAAATGGTTTCTTCACATGAGAGTTTGATTTAAGACTCTACTTAGTGCACATAGTCTATTGGTAAATGCTAGACTTGTATTATGCTGTTGAATCAGGATTCATCAATGTTTATTAATTACTGTGCTTCGCTCCATTTTTAACATGATCTATAGAAATCAATACGAGCATCTGACAGAAGATCTCTTTGCTTCTCATAAGCTGATTTTTTCAATGCAGTATTTAACAATTGCTCTGTTTAAGCAGCATCCTGTTATAAGGCAAGTCTTTCCCATTATCAGGTAAGCCTTTGGCCATGTTGATGCATGTGCCAGCTCCTTAATCTGATTCTTGCTTTGTTAATCAGAAACGTCGTAAGTGCGGTAATATTCGATATAGCCATGTATATACCAACAGTCTGTAACTAGATGTGAGATGAAACGGTTCAGCTAACTTGCTCAGAAGTTCATTGACCGTATCTTGGTTTCTTATCTAGATATAGAGAAATAGTACTAGATTGTGTATACAAGGCTTCAAGATGAATCCATGCTTTTGTATCTTCTCGACAACGGCCTCGGCACTGCAAAGTTCTTTGAAGATGAAACCTTTGCAAGTTTCTCAAATCTTGTGTACTTGGTTAATATAAGCCACTAGATTTTAATTTGTAATTCATGTTTTTAAAAATCGATAGATTTTGTTGGAGTTTATTTAATAATTATCAAGATTGCATAATATCAAACTTTACTAAGGTCCGATTGGTAACATGAGTTATCGAACTTGAGTTGCAGTAAATATTTTAATTTGATGTAACTTGCAGTTTAATTATACATGTTTTATCTCAGTGTTGTTAAAAAAATAGTAAAATAACCCGTATTGAACTGTGAGTTTAATAATATTATAATATCTACTTAAACATGGTCCTTCTTACAACTCGTCTCGTCATATAATCTGATGGAAGCATATTAAAACATTTCCCGTGTTATACTCCGTCATGTCATATAATCACCAAATAAATAAATACATGTCTAAAAAAAGGGCAAAGTCAATAATATTTTAGTATAAACTTCGTTTAAAGCTAAAATATTAATAACACTGAAACTTTTAAAAAGTATTAAAATATTTTAAATATTTTAAACTTTATATGTAGTTAACAACCATTCTCGTCTTACAACCCGTCCCGTCATATATTCCCAAAAAATTAAACCCATGTTTATAGTCCCGTTATTCGTAGTTGGATTGTTATAATCTTATCTATAATTTTTTTGTACTTTTATCATCCATATGTTTTATGTAATAAAATAAATTAAAAACAAATAAGAGCATATAAAGATTTTGGAGAAATATTTGAAAAAATATGGAAAATAAGAAATGATATTATATTTATTAGGGAGAGATTTTAGGGATTTTGTTAAAAATGATTATTATTAGTTTTTAAAAATTTAACTAAATAATTAATGCTAATGGCATAGCCTTGTAAATAACTTCCAACTCCAAAGTTTTTTTTTCAAAAAATGCTGTAAAAATGTTAATATATACATATATGTGTCCCAATGGTTTTGTGAATGCCTTCAAAGAACTTCTCCGCTTCTTTCACACCCAAAACTATCTCTATCATGCAATATCTTCATGTAATAGTCTAACAGATTATAAAGCTGATGATGATGTGAACTCAACCATCTAAAGTAGCAAACAAAGATGAAAACATAGATGTAGGCATGACCAAAAGCTAACATTAACCGTATTTCTAACCGTAACTAGACCGTTTATCAGCCGTAACTGGACCATACCCGTATAAAACGGTTAAAAATCGTAACCGTTAACCGTATAAGTAAATTAGTTACGGTTAAAAAATATACTAACCGTAATAAACCGCCGGTTAACCGTACAGTTAAACGCTTGGTTAACCGCATATTTAAATCCTTAAAATAAATTATATTAGAACTGTATACAATGAAAAGACACATCACATGTTTGGATAAATTTTTTACCTTATTAAAAGCAACACAACAAGTTGAACTCGTAAGTAATCAAAATATTTCATACTAAACTATTAGTCTATTATTATTCTTATTTCTGTGTGTATTCGATGTTGAGATTCTCAGTTTCGATCCAATACCCAGATTTACTAATTCACTATAAATATTTGAAATCACATATATTTTTTACTTGTAAAATAAATAGTATTTCATAAGATTTTATCTCCAATATTAATATTATAATAATCATCAAATAACCGTAACCGTATATAACCATAACCGTATATATAATGTTTAAAGTTATGGTTAAAGAAAATTATAACCGTTAACCGATGGTTAATTTACCGTAACCGCATTAACCGTAACCATGGTCATGCCTACATAGATGGTAGTGAATTTCTCATTCGGTTTTCTTGTTCATTCCATTGCTCAAATCACTTGAGCCATTTGTGCCCTTTGATCTAAACACAAAACAATGCAAAAAGCTAACAAGTGTCAAAAAGACTCAACACAAATTTTACTCAGTCGCTTCTTTCTTTCGAGAAGATTAGACACAAATTTTTTTTGCATCGTTTCATTCAAAGCGACAGTGGCCCCACAAGTAAAAGCTATCAATTTTTATTTATTTTTTTCTCAAACCAAAACGTTTGGTCTTCTTTTTTTTTTTGAATAATCAAAGATTGGGCCGACACCGATACATCCTTTCAAACCCGAAACCAAAACATGTTATATAATTTCGTTCCAATCGCTATTTGAATCGGCGACCTCTGAGTTTTTGCTAGAAATCTTTACCGATTGAGCTATTAGTGGCTAATGTCTCAATCTCTGATGGCTGCTACAACAACGACGACGAATCGCAACCACACCAATTTGAAGAAACTCCGATTGTCCTTAGACAAGCCGGTTACTAAAGTCTCCGTCGGACGAGAATATCACACTCGCTGCAGAGGATCTCTTAGATTCGAGTTATTTAGTTCGTGCTTCAGTATCAAAAATGAAACCAAAACGTAGAGATCGTTCCGCATTGAGATCTCGTCGAGTTGATAGTAGAATTTTGGCTGGAGAAGAAGGATATTATTCTACTTTGTGTATTCGTAGTTATACAAATGGGTACAACAACTTCAAAGCATCATCATTGCTACGACTCTCTATTGAGGTGAATTTATGTATACTGTTCTTGCTTCCATTATTATTTATTTGTACTGATCAGAGTTCTTTTGAGTTGATGAAGGGACATTGTTATTGTAATTTGTTTAGGAACCTTTTAAACCGTTCAAAGAGGAAGAGTTAGCTGAAGTCAAAAGTGCCTTCTCTCGGAGAAAGAGGTGTGATTCAGAAGCTCTAGTGTGTTATGTTCATGTGATTGATTGACTTATACAGGGGTTTATTAACTAGTTTGTGTTGTATTTTTAGAATGAAGGTTTTGGTTTCGCATAGGAACTCGAAAATTGATATTAGTGGAGGAACTTTACAATGCTTAATGCCGATGAGATGGCTTAACGACGAGGTGGTTCTTTGGTATGCTCGTTAAACCGATCTAGTTCACATATGTTTTATCTAAAAAATTTCTTTCAGACTCCTTATGTTATCTTTTTGATTATGTTAAAATTATAGGTCATCAATCTTTATCTTGAATTGTTGAAAGAGAGAGAAACTAGAGATCCTCAAAAATACTTCAAGTGTCATTTTTTCAATACTTTTTTTTTACATTAAGGTATGTTCTCTGTTTTTGTTCTTATGTTTATTAAGGTCTCAGTTTCCTTGTGTCGGATCATTCATTTTGCTATGACTTGCTTCGATAAAATATGTTTAGTGCTACACTTAAGTTTTTTTTTCCAATTTCTCTGTATGTTTTGCTCCTATTATCAAATTCCTATAACTCAGGTTTTATTCACTTGTTAATGGCTTGTGTCGGTTATAAATGTTTACGAATGTTCACAGGCTTATGTTCACAGGATCCTAAATGGACCGTCGCCTCTTGGTGATAGCTTGGATGTTCTTTGTGTTGGAAATCTCTCAGGCCTCATATGTAACCAGACGCAATCTTCTGCTTCAAATAACACTTCCTTTCTTCCTCGATCAGCTTTGCGTTTGTTGTCGATGGCCTTCTTCTTTAAGTTGCCTTGGGCTTTTTCATGCAACTTCTTGATGATTTTTTCCTCTTCTTAATCCATCTTGACAAGCCTGTTCTATCTGAGGTAAAGGTGCTAAATCTATGGGAGAGAAAGGGTTAATGCCATAGACTGTCTCGAAGGGAGATAGTTTTATAGCCGAGTGAACGACACGATTATAAGCAAACTAAATAAAAGGAATGCAATCAAGCCATGTAGCCATATTCCTACCAAGAGTGGCTCTAAGTAAAGTTGAGAGAGTTCGGTTTACCACTTTGGTTTGACCATCTGTTTGAGGATGACAAGTTGTAGAAAATAGAAGTTTGGTACCTAACTTTCTCCAAAGTGTCTTCCAAAAGTGACTCAAGAATTTGGTGTCACGATGAGAGACTATGGTCCTCAGGATCCCATGGAGGCGCACCACTTCTTTGAAGAACACCACTTCCTTGAAGAATAAATCCGCGGTTTGAGTGGCGTCATTGGTCTTGTCACACGGGATGAAGTGTGTCATCTTGGAGAACAGGTCCACGACGACAAAGATTCAATCTTTGTGTCTAATCTAGGGAAAATTAAGACAAAATACATAGAAATATCTACCCAAGGGGCATTAGGAATATGTAATGGTAAATATAGACCATGAGGATGTAACCTGGATTTTGCCTTGTGGCAAACAATGCATCAAGAACAAAATCTCTCCACGTCTTTCTTGAGATGGGGCCAAAAGAAATGATCCATGACCATGGCCAAGGTGTTGTCTATACCAAAGTGACCCATCAACCCTCCACAATGTGCTTCGGTGAGTATCAACTCTCGCATTGAGCCTTAAGGGATGCACAACCGCTTATCTTTGAACAAGAACCCATCTTACAAGTAGAATGCTTGATAATTCTGGATCATCCTTGTACAACTCCTTGATGTGCTTAAAACCCATTACTTTAGCCTCCATTGTAGCTATAAGGGCATGTCTCCTCGATAATGCATCAGCTATCACGTTCTCCTTTCTCTTCTTGTACTTGATCACATATGGGAATGTCTCAATGAACTCCAACCACTTTGCATGTCTCCTCTTAAGTGAAGTCTGACCCTTGAGATGCTTCAGAATTTCATGGTCGGTGTGAATGATGAATTCCTTGGACAACACGTAATGTTGCCATGTCTCAAGTGCTCGTACTAAGGCATAAAGCTCTTTGTCGTAGGTCGGGTAATTCAATGCTGCTCCACTTAGTTTTTCACTGAAAAATGCTACTGTTCTCTTCCTCTGATGTAGTACAGCTTTAATTTCCAAACCTGATGCATCACACTCCACTTCAAACATAACTTCAAAATCTGGAAGTGCTAAAACTGGTGCTTGTGTGAGCCTCTCTTTCAGCGTGTTGAATGACTGTTCTTGAGAATGGTACATTTTTCTTGATTACAGCAATCATTGGTGCATCCACTGTGCTGAAGTCTCCGATAAACCTCCTTTAGAAGCTTGCTAGTCCATGAAAACTACGGACATGTCCAATGGATGTTGGAGTAAGCCATTCGCGGATCGCCTTGATCTTTTCTTCATCTACCTGTAGGCCATTTTTACTCACTACAAAACCTAAGAACACACACTTTTCAGTATAAAATGAGCATTTCTTTAGGTT